GCGACCTACTGCTGTGAAGATTCATGTTTGTCTCTCCAATATGGCGATGAGCTGCAATATAACATAAAGAACAAGTTCATTCTTCTAATAGTTTCAAATACTTTTAAAAAAATCAATCTGCACAAAATGAAACAAGAATCAAAGGAATCATTACATTCTCCAAACTCCATCAAATCAAGGACCTGTTCAGCACAGGTAACGATTTCTTCTCTCAATCCAGCAACATATATACCTCTCTTCACAAACATGATTAAAGATGAGAAGAAAAGAGAAATGGAAAACGAACAAATCAATCAAATGAGGGAGAGTAATTTAGTTAACAATACCTCAAGGTTCTCATGAATTTGCAATTTGCGATGCTCCGGAGCCAACAAATCATTGATTTCCTCATTATATATTTCCATGTAAGACATGCGAACAAGGAATTCTCTATCTATATCCTAAGAATGCAATTAAATTTCAGAAAAATGAATCACTAATCTTAACTAAACAACTATCCTTAGTATCACCCGGTATGGTGATGCATGAGATAAGGTTGATGCTTCATGTTACTTTCATTATAAACAAGAACTCACTTCAGTTCTATGTAAGAAATCAAGAAGATAAGTGTAAAAGCACAAAGGTCTGAAGATTGAAAGCCAGACTACATGAAAGATAATTTAGAAGATGTCAAAATGAAAATCAGGTTGGGCATTAATGACTTAGCCAGCACTGTTACCAGCTTCAGTGTCTCTATGTGATTAACCAAAAAAAGTAAAATTGACAATATACATACACAAAATCAAAGTCAGATAATGTGAAGAATGTTACGAGCTCAAACATTTTTGACAAATTAAGAGCAATTCCACAAAGAAACACCAATAAAATTCACAATGTTGTATCACATATTTTAGCCAATAATGAGGGTCCAATCTGATGCAGACAAGTGAAAAAAATTATAACACTAAGAATTGAATTTCCTTTTGACCTTATGATGAGCAAATAAAATTCCTAAACTTGACAAATAAAAAGTCGGATCCTTAAAGGAGCACTTCATGGATTAAGTAGGAAATTTGATAATAAAAATAAAATTATGATGTCTTATGAACTTCTATTTTCATTTCACTTGGCAATATAGGAAGAACAGAAAATACACCTGCAGCAAAATCTGCTTCGAAATGAGAACCTTGTTACTACCATCAATCCACTAATATACATAGGATGATGCATATTTATGCATACATGTAACCCGTATCAAGGAACACCAAAATCATAAACAAAAATAGAGAGGAAGAGTGACAGTTACCTCTTGGATACTCAGGAATAAATCATGCACAGCAAGAGGAATAATTCCAGGTTCAGCAACTGAACCCCGCATAGTATGCGTCTTACCACTATTAGTTTGTCCATATGCGAAAACTGTACCTGATAGGGTCACAGAGAGAAGAATCAAACATGTGTTGAACCCGCGAACTGAACCCCGCATGGTATGCGTATTAACATGAACCAACATTCACCAGAAAAGAAATCTAAAACACGGTCACAGAGAACTAAAGATGGAACAACAAAGCGTAAGCAGGGATTTTGCCGCACCGTTAAACCCGCTAACGGCAGATGCAACGATCTCTTTAGTGCGAGCCTCGTAGACGTCGACCGTCTTGCAGTCTTCCCCGAAGATCCTGTCTGCCTCGCCGTCAAGCAACCAAGCAGGCGGTCGCGGAGGTTAGGGTTTCAAGGAAAGAGACACAGTACGCATCAAACCAAGACGAGGAGGGGTACGGGAGGCGATACCGACCGAATTCGAACTTGGTGGACTGGCTGGGGAGGTAGATAGAGTTGCCGGAGATCCTCCAGGGGTTGCTCTTAGACTCCTCCGGGGAGAGCGGCCTCGCCCTTACCGCCACGTATATCCTCTCCATCGGCTGCCCAAGAAACCAAGAAGAAAGGGAAGACTCCAAATTTGCTTGGGGGAGCGGAGAAGTCTGAGCAAGGGGAAGACGGCGAATGAGGTCGCGAAAGGGATTCAGTTTCCCGCCCAAGAGAAAGCAGGGCAGGTGAAGAGAAGCGAACGGAAGGGATACGGCTCCGAGTACTGATCATGTCGGATCCGAGCGGGGATCCGAAATAACATCACATGGATGAACGGTCAAAGACCACACGATCGGATCGACCCGGAAGTCTTACCCGATCCGTAGACCTTGTTGGATCTAAAATGCAAATCCACATCCGAAGTTGTATACTGCAATGTTAAAAGCATGGCAATGTTGAGTACTGATTATACCGTTGGAAATCACCGTATGTTGATACGCAGATACATCAATCGTTTCGTGTCGGCATTACGGCTGGCGTCGTCTACATGGGAGATGGGACGTGTCACGACACCTGAGCATGTGGTATAGTACTTGTATGACAAGGATTGTGATGATAAAAGGAAACAATGTAGAATAGAGAAGAAGAAGAAACGTCGTAGATTGGGTATATTCTACTCTCGTGGCAACAGTCAGCAGTCACATGAAGTCTCGGGAAAGACATGGTGCACTACGTCGATGCAATATCTCGAACTTGGACGAGACGATCGCCTGCACCAACGTTGTTTGAAGCCATATAAGACGGCGCCGCACAATGCGGATCCGTGCAGGTCGATCGACGCCCTCACGAAAGGTACAAGCTGATCGCCCAAGAAGTCGACAACCATTACCAAACCATGTACAACCGACCTTCGTTCGTAGGTATAAAAATCAACCTCTTGACCAATGTCAGATGTAAAACTTCGAATACTTAAACTCCCTCTAACACTACTCAACACTGACTTAAGCTTTAGAGGGGTCAAGTCGGGAAATCCTCCTCTCGACTTCGATCTTTATACAGAAACTTGACGAGGAACGAGCAACAAGCCAGCGAGAGAGGAAGAGCAACTCCTTACTCTACCTCATATCAATTCTAGAGACAAAGCTTAGACTCGATGCCAACCACCCCCATTCGAGTAACCATGTGAGTAATTCTACACACTCGGGATTGGACCAAACCGTGTTGACCCATCAATCACGGCATAAAGTTGCTCCAACACTCCCATTGTTTTCCTTGTAGGAGTTGGTTAGCAGTCGATTGCAGACAAATCCGGAGGATGCATAGGTCAGATTGCTACAAGCACGGGAATGTAAAGCTGCTATCTCCAATGGCTTTTCACATGGTTGGTGAAAGCATTTTCCTTCCACTTAAATTCCTTGTTGGTGTCTGTTTCAGTGATCAAGAAGAACATATTATTTCATGGAGATAAGTTAAAAAGGGTGGGGGAAGGAACGAAGTTTCCATCATTCCACGACCGGAGCAAGAAAGAAAGAAAGAAAAGAGTTGCAGGTTTGGTCTCCACAGGCACCGGAAAGGAAAGGTGATGCTTTTTTTGAGAGAAATAATTGAGAGGAAGGGCAGTTCAGTGAATCTGGCCATCAACAATCAGCTCTTTTGATATAAATTATTAAGAGATTATAAGGTGTTAAAATTAGGAGAAAATATGAACTCCTATCTTTTGTCAATTATAAAGGCTATAAACTTTTAATTTATCTCCATAGGAAGCTGAAGTGAAGAAGAAAAGGCTTCAGAAAGCAAAACAAAAGAAGCTGAGACTCTGGGCTGAAGTCAAGTACTATTATTTCCTGTGTTTAGCAGTCATTTATTCAATTTCACAATGCCCTAAGTATAATCTTTTAAGTTATCACAGAATGCTACATTATATACATTCATTTTTTTTGTTTTCAGGTTTCTTTAAAAGAGATGCCAACACCTTGTTGGAAAATCCATCTGACAACCATTCGTAGACTCAAGAAGCAAATTCACAAAAAGTCATTGCCTTGTACTGTAATTGCTCCACCAGAAAGACAGCATGTTCCAAACGAAGCTGCTCCCTTCAAAGGGAAGAACCACAGTGTAGTTGAAGCTTCCAAACCTAGCACTTGTACACTGCTAGAATTTGAATCAAATTATTTTAGCGGTACCATTTTGATCCTCCCGAAAGCACAAATTGTGCATGGATTTGTGGATGGCTGATTCTTAATGTTGATCTAATGTTACTTGCAGAGTGGTGAAGATGCTGTGGAGTTTCAGATGCATATGGAACCCTTGAAACCTGAGTTGTCAAAGAGGTGCTCGATGGATGGGGGACCAAAGGATCGAAGCGTTGCAATATGTAGAGATGTAGGAAATGGCTGGGTAGGTAAGAGGAAATTTGCATGGCAAGACCAAGTAGCTTGGATCAGTGGCGAGAAAGGTTTCTATCCTTTGAACCCTCTCAGCCACTTAGAATTTGACTGCATTTGGTCTGTAATGAAACAAATAGATACATGTTGAAATCCCTGTTCTATGTGAAACATGTGGTGGTGACTGGCGATGCAAATCTTTGACAGCAGAAATATGCTTGAAATAGGGCTATCGAAGGAGGAATGAGCCCTATATTGCATCTTAGAATAACACAATCTGTATTAGTCTATTTGTGACACCCCCAATTAGTCCCACATCGGAAGTGGATAATAACTAATATTGACTTATAAGAATTTAATGAGTGTATCATGATAATTTTAGTTTAAGTATTTTAGTCAGTGATTTAGATCAAATAGAGATATAGGTTAATTAGCTCACTCGGATCATAACACTATTTTTGTTCAAGGATACACATCAATCGCCAACAATAACTCACATAGTGGAGGCAACCACTAATATAATGTCAAAGATGCAAGGCAATCTCAACAGCTTTAATTGAATTCAAAATGTACTAAAGAAATAGGAACTCTACAAGAATTATTTATTTCAATAATAGACTTCATAAATCATAGACAATACATCACACCTGTACTAAAGAAATAGGAACTCGACCCCCAAACCTCCGGTCTACGTAAGGTTTGAAGAGGATCGATATGATTATTATAACATAAATTTATCTATATAAGGAGAGGTTATTTTCATAAGAAATGGAAGAAGTTCCATGACCTTACTTCCAAACCGATCTAAAGGATGACAGAAGCAAACAATGAATTTAAATATATCGATATTGAATGCAAAAGAAGAACAAATTTCTTGGGTAATAGATCGATCTCATGTCAGATCAGAGCTAAGGATCATTGTACATCTAAAAGTCATTATCCACTTTTAAGAAACATCAACATTAGATATTAATATATTTATATAAAAAAAAGTATTAACTAAATCACCCAAGTTGAGTCAGGTGTGGATAAATCCATACAAAAGCATAATTATAGATATTATGGTGATCGAGCATGTAATAGCGAACGTACCCGGAGCAAAAGTTTCCCCCGTTTGAGTTTGCAGGCGTTCAGATGTCGTAGATGAGCTTCCGGAATTCGAGCATGTGGTCGGGCTGCAGGGAGATGGCCACGGAGAGGCTGCCGTCCGCTGTGGGGCTGGGCAGCACGAAGGCGAGGCCCTCGTAGGCGATGCCGCCGGGGCCCATGAACACCGGCCGCCCCCACCCGAAGTCGGCATCGTGGATGGGCAGGCGCACCCAGCTGGTAAGCCCGATGTTGGGGCACCGGAACGTGTGCGCGCCCCGCACCAGCGCCGCCAGGTCCGGCTGCATCTCCAGGTAGTCCAGCGCCGATCGCACGTATGCGTCGTCCATCCTCGTCAGCGACTCCTGGATCGTCCCCGCCGTCGGGGCCGGCCCACCCCCCGCCGCCGCCACCTCCCCGGCTTCCGCCATCGGCGTGGCCGTGAATATCACGTTCCCGAAGTAGCCCTCGGGGGGTGGCGGCACCAGCCGTTGCCGACCGTCGGTCGCGATGTACATCTTGGTCGGCTGATCGGGCGGGAGGTCACGGGCCACGCACGCGCACCGCCACACATGGGCGGCGAGGAGGGCGTACGTGCTGTAGGTGCCGCCCGGGGGCGCCTTAGCCTTGAGGAGGTTCAGCTGGGCTCGGGTGAGCTTGAAGATGCTGACGGCGACGGACCCCAGCTTGGCCGGGTTGACTGAGGGGGGCGAGGTCGGCGGTGTGGAGGGGGCAGTCTTTAAGGGAGGGGCAGGCTGGTACTCGACGTGGGGGAAGGATGGGGTGGGCGGGTCGCGCGCGCGGAGGAGGGTGCGGTCGATGAAGGGCTGCACGCGCACACCGACGCCACGGGCGATGTCTGACCAGGAGTTGATGAAGTGGAGGCCGGAGAAGCCGTCAGCGACGTGGTGCTGCATTCCCACGCCCAGCGACACGCCGCCGCACTTGAAGTACGTCACCTGCATCCGTAACATACTACTACATCACACTCTTCCACTCACGGCCCTCGTCGACATGAAGCAGAGCAAAGAAAACCACGATGTCGGCATAGTAGTAACAATAGAAGAGACGTGTTCTAGCTCATTCTACTGCATATAATTCTATAATTTCCGCTGTTTAATTTTTTTAATTATTTCTTTTCTTTTTTTTTGGTTCTTTGTTGATGTGAACCTTAATTTTTCTTCGCATATCTTACAAGAATTCATATGCAAAGTTATGGGGCATGACAGATGGCAGTAGGCAATTCAACATGGCCGCAATTCCAAGATTGCCATCCCTGGATGGGGATCATGATGACAGCCTTACCATAATTCACGTTGACAGCAGAAAGTCAACATACATGGCAAATGGTCTGCATGTGGATCATGCTTTATCGATTCCAAGACTGTCAACCTTGAATGGGGATGGGATGGTGACAGCCTAACTATAAATAACATCGCCAAGTAGTAAAACATACATGGAAAAAGGTCAGCAAGTGGATAATGCTATGAAGTTTGTGCCTCCACCTGATCGACAAACAAGCAAAAACAAATATTCATGTACTTGAGGCATAAATATTTCTACTTCAACTACAACGATGACATACAGATTTTTCAATTAGTGTGAGTATTTTTCATGAGATTTCTTGTAGTCATGGCTTTCTATATTTCTGTCTCTTAGGTCTCAAAGGTACCACCATCTCTGACATTTTCAAACCCAACCCTATCTAAATTGACATCCTACCTAACTACCTTGAATCAATAATGATAGGATTTGAACTTACAGTTTTCCTTAGAGGACTTGTACACTCTTCTATTTGATACAATGATATACTATTTCAGGGGATTTGAACTTGCAACTTTCCTAGAGGACTTGCACACCCCTTTATTTGATACAATGATATATTATTTCAGGGGATTTGAACTTACAACTTTCTTAAATAACTTGCAAACCCCTCTATTTGTTACAATGATATACTATTTTAGGAGATTTAAACATACAACTTTCCTAGAGGACTTGCACACTCTTTTATTTTATACAATGGTATACTATTTCAGGAGATTTGAATTTGCAGATTTCCTAGAGGACTTGCACACCCCTCTGTTTGATACAATGATATACTATTTCAGGGGATTTGAACTTGCAGCTTTCCTAGAGGATTTGCACACCCCTCTGTTTCTATTTCAGGGGTTTTGAACTTACAACTTTCCTAGAGGACTTACACACCCCTCTATTTAATACAATGATATACTATTTCAGGGGATTTGAACTTACAACTTTCTTAAATAACTTGCACACCCCTCTATTTGATACCATGATATACTATTTTAGGAGATTTGAACTTATAACTTTCCTAGAGTACTTGCATACCCCTTTGTTTGATACAATGATATACTATTTTAGGGGATTTGAACTTGCAGCTTTCATAGAGGATTTGCACACCCCTTTGTTTCTATTTTAGGGGTTTTAAACTTACGATTTTCCTAGATAACTTGCACACCCCTCTGTTTGATACAATGATATACTATTTCAGGGGATTTGAACTTACGGCTTTCTTAGAGGATTTGTACACCCCTCTGTTTCTATTTCAGGGGCTTTAAACTTACAACTTTCCTAGAGGACTTGCACACCCCTCTGTTTGATACAATGATATACTATTTCAAGGGATTTGAACTTGCAGTTTTCCTAGAGAACTTGCACACTCTTTTGTTTGATATAAAACTTATTTAAGTAGTCTAACAATTAATATATTTGCTACTAAAAATTTTTATTAGTAATAGCAAAATTTAGTTAAGAATTTAAGAATTTAACATTTTTAGGAATAATGGAGTTATAGAAAACTATTTCTTTTTATTAAAGTTGAAAGTCAGCTAATAAAGATCGATTAACATGATATATACACATATATAAATTGATTAGTAAATCATGAGAGGTGTATATGGATAGCGGTAAGCTCACCTGAAGTACCAGAAGCGGGAACGCGGCGATGTCGTCGGTGTAGTCCACCTTGGGGATCAGCTGCTTCAGCTCCATGGTGGGCGCGAAGTCGCCGAAGTCGTCCACCGCCGCGTCGGTGTCGGCCTCCACGAAGAGCACCCCCTCGCCATTGCAGTCGATCTCGATCCGGCCGTCCTCGTCCCTGGCCAACCGCCCGGCCATCGGGTAGAAGGGCACCAGCGCCCGGGCCAGCGACTGCCGCATCACCGCCGCGTCGAAGAAGCCCGCCGACCCGTCCGGCCGGTAGAAGTACACGCTCGGCGTGTGGAACCGCGGCACCACCAGATCCAGGTTAGAGTTCCACAGACGCCGCCGCTGCGTCGGCTCCGCCGGCCGCACCATCGTCGACCGCCGCACGTTGATCACCACCATCGCTCCCCCGCCGTCCTCAAGCTACCAACTGCAGCATCGAACACAGTGGTTGACCGGATCGAGATATCAGAGCCGTTCGATTCGCACCGACAAAAGAGAATGATCTCTCCATTTGTTAAATCCCTAAATGTCTGATCTTAACAAAACCTAAAGACCAATGCTACTCTAAAAAACCGATTTTTCGGTAAAAAAAAAGGGGGGGAAAATGAGCAAAAAAAAGATCGAAAACGGTGAAAAAAAAAGGAAGACAAGAGATCGAATTTCCAAAGAATCAAACTGAAATCTCCCTCAGATCGATAGAAAAAGTGGGCAAACTGTACCTCGCAAGAAGCAGCGAGAAGAGGCAAGAGAGATGGGGGAGAAGGGAACAGCTCTGGTGGGAGAGCTGCCTTGAAGCGGAGATCCGATGGGCCATTATATAACCAAGATAAGGATAAAAAAGATATTTCGTGAGGGGAAGGTAATTCTCCCGGATTCAAGCCACGACTCGTGTACCGATAAGAGAGATTGGCGCGCAAGAAGCCGACCCTCGAGATCTTCGTAGCGAAAGTCGTGTGTACGTTCGGGTGGAGAGCGACTAGAGAGTTGGTGGGACGGTGACCAGATGGCCCCACCCGTTGAGTTCCAACTCCAGTCGCACGATGATTGACATCCACCGGACGCTGACGGTTCGTATGTGTCCCATCGGTGTTCTCCAAACATTGGTCGAGTTGGCCGACGATGAAGGTGTGGGTGGTTGACGGTGGGCCGACGATGAAGGTGTGGGTGGTTGACGTCGACGAAGAGGTCATCATGACACATCAAGTGGCCGACTCACTCGCGAGTCGGACCGGAGTCGAGTTCAACTGACCCGATGTGATCGGATTGAATTATGTCGGCGGCAGCTGGTGAGATAGGACAGAGATACAGGTGAGAGAGTTGAGTTTGGACACACGCGACGGATTTGCCCAATACATATCCAGCCAATTCCTGGTTGTTGGGTTCAGGTGGTCTACGAACAATCAAACTGTGTATAAAAATCAAAGGCTTACGTATTTATGCCTGTTAAATTTAAATTCACCAATAATAATATCGAGATTATTTAAAAATGTTAACTAGCTTAAACATCTTACTTCTTATATAAGAATTTGGGAGTGAATTTTGTTGATTTTTTTTCAAAAGGGATCATTTTGACTACTTTATCACATCAAATCATTATACACTATATATATATATATATATATATATATATATATATATATATATATATATATATATATATATATATATATATATATATATATAACAATGTTTTATCAAATCAAATGATTTGATTGATATATCAGATTCATATAACAATGTGTCAGTCTTATCCTGACATATCAGCTTCACTTAGGTCGATAAATCAATATCAGGTTTTCACTTTTGTTGTTACGTATGAGGAATGTAATGATCATCGAAGTCTAACGAATGCAGTCTATGTAATTAACTCATAGGCAACATGTGGTCGACCCGTAAGTGACGTGCAATCAACATATTGTCGACACTTGATCGATATGTAAATGATTCTTAGCCAACATGTAGATCACTAATCATCACCATATAACCTCATCCGACAAGTGACAATTAGACAATGGTTATGATTGACCATCACACAACTACTATTACATGAGAGGTGTAATCAACGAAAACGATACTTCGATGCAAATGAAAAATAATTATAGTCGAGTCTTTCATTTTATTACTACATAAGTTGCACGATAGATACATAAAATGAACCAAGATTTTTACCATAAAAAGGGAGCATCTAGTTAGGTTTGAGCACACAAAATTAGTCCAATCATTTATGGAGTGTTGAAGTAGCATCATCGAGAGTGTCCTCGATATGGATTTTTTTTATCGGAGTCGATCTAGCTAAGATTCAAGCAACCAAATCTAACACAAAATAAGTTTCAAATAGATATTCTTATTATTTTACAATGAAGATAAACAAGAACATTTTTTTTGAAAAAGTGAGCTTTTGTCTCAGTTATAATGTCTTGCAATATGATTATATTATTTTTGGTATATGTCAAAGGTATTATATATATATATAATATATATGGTGAATCATCTTTTCCAATAAAGCACATCAACTTGGGAGTCAAATTTTGATCACGAGTCAAATCACGAACAAAAGCAAGTGTCTGAGTTGGATACAGGTCTCAGTGCGATTCGCCCGTGTTTGACCAGTGAGTGTACCCTTAATGATGGTTGTTGGGAGGGGCTAATCGACCTTTCCCAATCTTCTGGAGGCCATGATGTTGTCACCATTGATCCAAATCACTTCTCCATTGCATTGATGTTTCTTTCCTTAGCCACATGAGTTATGATAGTGGCTTGCACATTACGTAGAGCACCGGAGGATGCTGTCTTATTCTAAGATATGAAGAGGTTGGGCAATAGGATTCAAGAAGGATTGTGTTGAAGCATAAGCTTCGCAAATTTAGGTGGTGGTGGGTGAAGCCTTCATGTTGGATCCTTGTTTGACCTTCTCACTAGACTGATGAAGATGTGCCAACAGCTGTGTCCTATTTCACATGTCAGCTTAAACTCATCTCTTGGATCCTACCTATGTTCAAGAAGCAGCAATCACAATAATGGAAAAGGATTATTGTGTCATTAATTTTGCTTAGTATGACAATCACAAAAGAATTATTCTCTTTCCCATCACTTCAATTTATTTGTTTGGCACCCAATTATAACTATAACAGTCTTAAATTGTATGTAGTTTGAATTGTATCTCTCTTAATACCATGTTGCAAGGGTTTTCTCATCCTTGAAAAGAGAGAGATTTGAACTATTTTATTATCTTGTATATTTTTTTTTTCAAAAGTAAAATTTATATTCATTACATTAATCAACATATTAATATATACAAACATTCTCAATAAAGATATTATCTCCTGTATTAACTAATCTTCGGTTATAAATTTATGCATAATTCAGTTTCCAAATTACCAATCTGATTTATCAAGTGAATTACGTTAAGTCCATGGAGTATTTATCATCATTTCACAGTAAATAATAGCTTTGACACAATCAATCAATGTTCATCATCACCATTGCACAAAGCCTGAATGATTCTTGAACCTTGCAGTGCTCAACAAACCAGACTCGCATTGAAGAAATGGCATTACTGTTTACAACAGCTATTTCCCAGCACTTGGATGATACCAAGAAGGAAAAGGGAATTGCATGAAATGGCATCGGATCCCTTGGTCATGCATTATAATCCACATTGGATGTAACATGTATTTCAAGAACAAAGACCCCACGAGACTCATTTTTTGATCTTAATTTCTAGTTAGAGAAATGAATACTGAACATGCAAACTGTCTTGGTTTTGGAGGTCCCAATCTGTTTTTACTATATGGAAACAACTCAAGCATCAAACATCTTGACCTTCTATGAATCAAATTAATGGAACCATTGGCTCAAGCAAGCCATAAATGAAGAAACCCCGAGTGAAACCAAACTTACAACAGCTCGTTGATTTTGGCATAACTTCTTCCACTTTGATATCAAGTTTTGCTGACAAGTGAAACCAGCTCAATATCTTCGATATCATCAACGTCTTCTTCAAGAACTTCAGTATTATCATCTGCGTCAAGCATGTCAGCAGGAAGAAGTGTAGAATTTTGATCACTTTTCGGTACTAAAAATAGAAGAACTAAAGGTACAATTCGCATTATGTTCCTAATCAATATGGCAGCCCAAAGATTACTGAACTCTGTTCGTGTAACCTTTAGAAGATGAAGCAGTAGACCACCAGCCCATGATGATGTGAGTAAGCCAACATTATCGATGGACATAAGCAGGGCAAAGAAGGTGCCTTCGATGCCAGGAGGGCAAAGCTTGGAACTCAACACAAGAAGTGGCATCCACTTGAATTGGCCAACCATTCGTGAGACACTCTCATCAATCACAGCAAAGAAATAATCAGGTAACCCAAACTTCAAGTTCAGACGAAGTACCATAACTAAGTCCAGCATTCCAGCGATACCAGAAATCAGCTGACTCCAAAAAAGCAATCCACGGAACGGATAGTCCTTCAGAATGTTTTGATATAGTAGCACTCCAAGAAGAGAACCCACAGAGCCAATGGAAAAGATGAAGCCTATTGTTTCCTGCATGAAAATGGATATCACATATGCTACAAGAGTTGAACCAGTGATGTTCTTACGGTCAAAGGAGCATAAATACCTCAGAGAAAGATGGGCCTGATTTTTTATCTGTGTACCAATAAAACATTCCTTCTTCAATATTCAAGCTTAAGGCAAGAGACATATACATGTACACACAAGGTCTCCACACAGAAGGGCATTGTAAAGTTGTCCGCATTGTTCGGATGGCTTGCTGCAACTTTTGAAAGACCTGATATAAGAAGATACTGTATGAGTATGAAATAAAACAATCAAAGCTGAGACTGTAACTTACTCTCATATTCCATTAATCGAATCTAACCTCTCCATAAGCAAAGTTTGGTATGTGCATCTCCTTTAGCATTATGCCAACTGAGAGTACAAGCACCGAAGGAATGCTTAACAAGCCAAGTACGCCCTTTAGAATAGAAGAATGTGAAACAATCAGTCAAAAGTAAAACTCGGAAGGGAGAAAATGTTTTTCACAGTGAAGCTTTAGATTTGTTATCCAGGATCAAGATGCAAGTTGGATCCTCTGATGCAACCATTGCTATTATCATGGCAGCGAGTGACAAGGAATTAATATGGAAAAAAAAAAATGCTTGACTTGGATATTCTAAGAAGCTAACCTGAGAACCAATTGCATGAACTAGTAGGCCACTGATGGAAAAACCCAAAAGTCTTCCAATAGATGAACTTAATCCACACAAGCTTTGCATATCAGCAGCAAGGGAAGGATGGTTTATACTGTTTTGTGCAACACAGGCATCAACAGTCACATCTGCTATTGCCACACCAGCACTTCCTATGGTCATCGCCAGCAAAGCAAATATGACATGGAGTTTGCTATGCAGAGATAGAGTAAGCATTGATAAAATTCCCAAAAGACCTGCATTTTCCACACAGATATTCTCAGTTCACGCGATTCAGCATCTGCAGAAGATATGGCTTAAAAGTTCATAATTATGAATCAACAAATAAGATCATACATAAAGATGGTGCAGAATAAACAAAATGCCAAGAAAACAAAAGCAAGTATACAGACACGAATTCAAGATTTGGAACATAAGAATAATGACAATATTGTATATTTGGTACTTCAGGAATAAAGGAAAAGTTAGAGTCCGAAGTAGAAACAACAAAAAAATACCATTGTAATATCAAGAATCATAATAAAGACTTGTGTAACTAATATAAAAGATCTAATGAACAATCAGCACTATGATCGGTATACAACTACTTAGGGCATATTTGGTTGCTCATGCTTTCAATTTAACTATAAAACCGGCCTAACTTGGTTGCAATTGCAGGTTGCATTTGGTTGCCTGCAAACTGGGGCTGCATTACAATTTAAATGCAATTCTGTTAGTTAGGGCCTTACTTTATAACACTTGCATGGAAAACCACCAGAAACCAAAATAACTGTAGTTGATTTTGTAGGATTTGGCTAGATGACAGATGCATGGTCATTCTCTTGTACAAGCATCTCCACAAGTGTATTTTGTTAGTCGCTTGTAATTGGACATCTGTGGTACAATTAAGGGCAACCAAATACACCTCAGTAGTGGCAGCCAACATCACTAATGTGAGACTAGGCGGCAAGAGGCAAAAAGATTTAAATCATAGCTTCCTTTCTAAGTATAGGCAAATAATAGCACATTGGGTATCAGATATTTCTTATGACTACAGCCAGAAGTTTCTATCTTGCCGATAGCATCTCAAAGACAAGAGTCGCTGATAATAAAGTCTTAAAGGGAACACAGCAGCTGCTTGTACAAATGACAATAGCAAGATCATGTTTAATTAGGATCAAGTGATTGCTAAAAGTTAAAATAACTTTAGATAGAATACAAATCTAGATTAATATTTCTTATATTACTTCTCCGATATCCAATCTCTATGTATTACTCAAGCCTACTACCTTCTGAGCTATTTTTGAGGATCAAGAAGCCTATGACTACAAGTCAAGAGCCACCAATGCAAAGAGGATAAGCGAGAAAGCCTGCAGATGATCCTACTGAAAACATAAACATATGGTCAAAATGCTATATGATATGAAGCGCCACCAAAATGTGCAACTTAAGACATCACAACAAGCAAAAAAAAAAAATCAAAATCCATTATTTCTCAGCTGCACAATTCTTACATGAAAACCTAAGATATCCTCCACTGGTGGACAACTAATGGCACCCTTCGCAATCATAAGTCACTAAAACAAGATTCTTGGCAAGATGCAGAGTGATGATGCAACCCACAGTTAAATTCACTTCCAAAACAATTCAGTTGCAATAAATAATATGCTCAACAAATAAGAGAAGGAAGGAATGAGATTGGCCTCCTTACCTGACAAGATGAAGTATGGTCGCCTCCTATACCCAGCCACGGGGAGTACATCAGTAAGAAGACCCCAGAGAGGCTTGACGATCCAAGGAATCGAAGTGATTCCCTGATAGACTTGCGCCGCCGAAGGATGCACCATTTGAACGTCCTTCCAGTAGTAGTCCGTAGCAACCCTCGATATGGAGCCGCCCATCCCCTGGCTGATCCCGTACACTGCGATGACGCCGAATACAAAGCTCCAATGCATCTCCTCGGACAGCATTCTGAACCATCGCAAGGGAGACCAATCCGAAAACCGATATCCTTCACCGGAATCCCGGGATCCTTCCTCGGGAGCTTCCTTCCGCTTCATCTGAGCTCCAGCTAGCTCAATATTCTCTTCCATGACCTCCGTATCCTCGGAAACCTGTGAAGACAGTGGAGCCACCATCTGCGAACCGATATCGCCTCCTCTTTTGTCGAGATTTCCTCAGAAAACTACCATTCAACGCCTAAAACTCGGGTATTTCATGGTTCTTTCTCACTAAAATGGGGCTCATTGTTGAGATCTGAACTTACACAAACCATGAAATTAAGATAAAACTAGGGAACGTTAAGATCCAGAGGCCACCGGAAGCATCATTGGGCGAAAAAGGAACCGGATTTCTTCACTCAACAGCGATATCTGCTGAGAAATTGAAGCTTGTCCTAGATTTCACGTGGAATGCTGAGAAAGGTTGCCTTGTTGCTCTCCAGAAAGGGCCGAGAACGCACAGATAAGACAAAAAGAAAGGACTTTTGGATCAAGAATGGCACCAGTAGCTCCGATGCCGCGAGACAGGTACTTGTACTCGGATCAAATACGATACGAGATGTAGAAGAAAGGGGAAACAAAAGACGATTTTTAAGACGAACCACCACCAAAATGCCGAAAACTCTAAGAGAAAAAGGCAATTAAGGTCGGCAATCGTTGATCGCCGGAAGAAGGGGAGAAGAAGAAGTCTCGTTGGGTTAAACTGATTCCTCCGACCAAACCCCCCCGCTCGATCACCTTGAAGCACAACGTCCAACCCACACCCAGTTTCGCACCCAAGTTTAGGGTTTTGGCCTGCATGTGGGTCCCAGCTTACGTGGGCTAATAATTGCCTTCGTCAACGATCGACTTGGGTTTTTGGTCCCTCGTGTGTTTTCCGCTTCACCTGTCGGTCATGTGAAAAATGTGAATTGTGTAAACGAAATTGTTGAAGTAATTAATTTATTTAACTGTTATTTAGAAGAATCCTAACATGGAGTTAATCATGAAATGGAAACAATGCATGCCGATTTTATATATTGCATAAGAAATGTTATTATGAAATGATTTATATCGATTTATTAGCTCGGATTCGTATATAATATTATGATCATTAATTTACAAATGATTGAATACATTTTTATATTTTGTTATAAATGTTATTTTTATGATTATGATTGCTAAATATAATTTTTCCATTACAATTTAACTTAATGCAGTAGTAGCAATAGTAAATATCTTTCAACAAGCTTTTGCTTTATTCGTATCAAGATTACTTAACCTTCTATTAGAAGAAATATTTTGAGAAAGAAAAAAGTATGGTTATGCTATTATGAATTTTTTATGTATTATAATATCAAGTAATCATTCATTAAATATAATTTTTATATATCGTAAAAAAAATTATATCAAGTCAGAGTAATCTTGTTACTAACTTAAGCGTCAAACGGATTATGTCGAGAATGTTACTCGATGTTTATAATTTTATAAATCGACATCAAATCGAGTAACCTTACTTTCATTACCTAAACTTCATGCACCAATTATAAAATATAGGCAAGAAAACAAAATAAATACTCCAAATACGGGCAACAAACGGATCCACTGCCTCAAGATTGGTGGAGAAGGTGGGGCCACGTAAACTTCATGAAGTCCAACCATCAAATAACTCGTCAGGTAACTCCGCGGGTAGGTCGGTTCGTTTACACGATTATGTATTGTAGACGAATGCATCAGTGATCCGGCCATCAAGGGAGACTGATCGCATCTGGACCAGCAAATATAGATCCGACGGCCACGATCTCGAGATATCGCAATTTAGAGCTTCTCGCGTTCGACCGCCTCTTCAACCCGGTCGGTTCGCTCCGTCTCCGAAACCCTCGTCTCCGTGGCTTTCCTCGCTTCCCGTCCATGGCGGGAGAAGACGGCGACGACGAGGCGTCCATCGAGCGGCAGTTGGAGCAGCAGGTAGCGGAGCAGAAGGAGTCCCTGGCGGCCGTCGACGAAGCCCTAGCTGCCGACCCTTCTAATCTCGAGCTTCTCTCGGTACGCGCCTGAACCTGGAGTTCCGCTTCCCTTCCTTCCTCTCTTGCATGCACTAAGCTCCAGTTTCTTACCTTTACGTCGAATTAGGTTTCTCGTCGTAGCGGTTTGACATTTTTAGTCCGATTTCTCCCTTCTTAGAAACCGATAATGTAGTAGGGTTTGAGTGTGGAAGGTGCTTTAACCTGAGAACTCTTCCCCCCCCCACCCAAAAAAAAAAAACCTTTTTGAATGATTATTTGGTCGAAATATGTTTGCTAACTGATGTGAAATCGTATCAAACACAAAATATCGTATATTTTGCCTTGAAAACTAATCTTCCTGATGGGTAGCTTGTCTTACTTTTTCAGATCATGTCAAAAAATCGAAGTTGTCATATAAATAAAGACTTCTGTAGTTGCAGTTGTCCTTTTTCCTCAAATCGGTAACCACCACCACCACCAAAGCCCTATTTGCCCATAACCTAATGAATTCCATGGAAATGCAATTCGTACCTCAAAACGGATCAGGAATGACTAATCAACTGGTTTTCCAACTGCTGTAGTTGTCCTTCCCAGGTTATATACCAACGATCGTTTGTCTTGTGGCTTAGGTTTCTGATAACCTAAATAGACATGGAAACTATTAACATGCCATTGATCAAAAGTGGATCGTCACCTGCCAATTTCTATGCAACTCGTGTCACGGCAAGTAAGAAGGATTGTATGTATGTGTGTATGTGTGTATGTATGTAGCTTCTGTTTAGGCATTTGATGAAGTAGTCAATGTTAGGAGTCTCTTGTTACAAGTAATTCCTTCTTCATAAGTGTTTGTGATCTAATCATGTTGTATGTGGTTTGTCTTGAGTACCATCGCAAGTTAGCTGATTATATGCTTAAGGGCTAACCTGTCCCTACTCTGAAATCCTAATAAAAAAGGGAAAAGACAACTATTCAGTACACAACATTCTGTCTATGATTGAAATTATTCATTTGTCATGATGAATAGACCACTTCGGATGAACTTGAAGTTTGATACCTTAAAAAGTATGTTTCTGTACTTGGATCCCTGGTAGGTTAATGCTTGAATTTGATTTATCGTACGACTTAGGCTAGGTCCCACACCTGGACCGATCATCATATTGTGCTGTGGCCCGAATGAAAGTCAAAAGACTTCTTTCTTTAACTTAGTTATTGGAATGATGTTTGATGGACACAGTTAAATTCTTGATTCCTAGTTTTCATCTATTGTTGTATCCCCAAAGCTAACGAGAATTCTCTAAAAGTTAAGCATATGGCGCTGACAATTTTCTTCCTTAAGGTTCATGAAGAGCTTATCTTGGCAATCAAGGATGCAGAGGAAGGGCTGCTTAACTTGAAACGATCACGGTTATTAAGGGAAGCTGATATGATATTTTCAGGACAAGAAGCTGAGTCTATAAGTCAGGATGTCAAAGTGGAGCCTCTGGATCTTAGACAGGACAAATCAGAACTATCGGAATCAGAAACTAACTCTGTAGGTTCGAAGTGCAGATTTCGTTACACAGATGGACGCTGGTACAATGGTCAGATAGTTGAACTGGGGAGTCCTACTTCTGCAAGAATTTCATTCCTGACCCCTACATCTGAAGGCATGACGGTGTGTACAAATTCCACTGCTCTCCTCTTTTCATGGGGTTGTCTTTTTTTCGTTTATGAATGATTAGTTTGGCTATCTGACTGATTTCTTGATGAACTCTGCTTCATCATCCTACTCAGTTCAGCTCAAGAGAATTGTCTAAATGGTAGCAAATTTATGACCCTCTTATGGCACACTAAATTATCTATCAAGATTGTCCTTAATGGAAATTCAGGTGTGAGGCAAAATAAGGACTTGTTGGGGATAATCACCTTAATGTTGATTTGTAATAATCTTTTTTGTGAGCTGCTGAACTAGTAGGATTTGAAGCTCTCTGGTTCTGTGTATTGATTACTTACGTTGGATGATGGTCCTCATCCTTCCCAATGTGGACAGTCAGTTCCAGCAATTTTCAGTAGTATTCATTTGGCTCCATCACCTCAATTAGGTAATTACTTCCACAGTGGACTGGGTTATTTTTGGTCTTATTCCAATATGTTAGACTAGCACATCTTTGGAATTAGCAAGTGATTTTCTATTTGTCAATAATTACATAGGACATGCCTCTGAGGCTGAGCACAATACATTTGAACAAGACATTAGGATGTGTCTCTAAGCACAAGACACTCAGGTAGGAAGTTGTAAATTGTTACGCTTATTCTTAATGGTCAACCTGTAAATGAGCTTCCGGCATGAGTGAATAAACATTAACCTGTCGTAAGGTAATCCTTTTTTGGAATTAGATAGCATGTTTATGTGCAATTCTTGGATTTAATCTGTAGACATCTGTGCTGTCATGTCTGCTCCTCTGTGAGTGGCTATGTTCGCTTTCTTCCTCTGCCACCCCCCTCCCCGCTGTCGACCTGCTTGCCTGGCCAACCGGAAATTTCAACAAGAAGCTGTAGTCAAAAAATTATTTGGAATCACTTGATCCATTCAAGAGGTGGATCAACTGGTGGCAAAATCTTCCCATGGGTCTTGAACTTCCCCAACAACTCTGTGTGTGACAAATAACTTGGGTCTCCTGTTGACTCACTTGCAATAACATTGGTGGCATCATGTCCACTAGAAACCTTCATTGTAATTATCGTGTAATGTTCGCCTTGCTTAACTTTGATTGCTACCCATCTCTGCAGTGTTTCACTTCTCGTACATATATGTTGCATGGAAGACACAGACTCCTTCCTGGTCACTAGCAGTTTACTAATATAAGTCCCACCCAAGTGCAGATGTGCAAGTTCTTCCTACAGCAAAGATGTCGATTTGGTAATAACTGCCGCTTATCACATGGTATGTTGTTTTAGGCTCATCTATTAGATATAGAACCTACTTTGTCCCTTTTCTTTCTAATTTTGGGTTGTCAATAGTGTGTTACTTATCGGAAAACATTATGCGATGAACTTGTATGACTGTCATCTCTAAATATTTGGCTGAATGGACTATCACTTTTCATGCTTCTTGCTTATGTACTTATGTAAGGAGCAAATATGGCCAGAAATTCTAATATAAATGCTTGACAGGACTCATTGTTCCTATCTCATCATTGAAGAATTACATTCCCACTGTATGGAAGCAGTCCTTGGTAGGGTCCAGTATTTGGGCAGCTGCTGGCAACTATTCTGGCATATGGCGGAAAGCTGAGCTCGAGTCATGGGATGATGAACTCATGGTGGGTCAAGTCGTTTTCCAAGATGATGGCAGCTCTGTGAAGCTTTCGAGTGATGCTCTCTCCATATCAGAGTATGCTGAAATGAGTGATGGTGAGGAGAATGATGATGACTTTAGCTCAGATGGATCTGAATCCAGTGAAGAAGAGGAGGATACTGACAGTGGAATCGGCCATCAAGGCCTGGGGTTTTTGGAGGCTACAATATTACAGAAAGGTGTTCAAACAGAGACCACTGTGTTTGCGAAGTGGGAGCATCACACCCGAGGTATTGCTTCTAAAATGATGGCCAGCATGGGTTATCGTGAAGGAATGGGATTGGGTGCCTCGGGCCAGGGGATACTTGATCCGGTTGTGGTGAAGGTTCTTCCACCAAAGCAATCTCTTGATCATGCTGTAGCCAATGAGAATGATGAAAACAGTGTAGGTCGTGGCAAGAGGCGCAGCAGGGGTGGTAAGAGGAAGCGTGAAAAGAGGTATGCAGATGCTGCTCGGGCTTCTAAAGCCGAAGAAGAGAAGGCCCCGGATGTTTTCAACTTCATAAACAACCAACTCGCTGGGCAAGATGTTGCATATGTATCCAGCAATAGAAGTAAAAAGGGAACAGGTAATGGTGAAGCCTCTGCCAGGCGGGAGGATAGGCGGTCATTGGTGGCATATGATGATGAGGTGAAAGAGCTGAGGAACAAAATTGAGAAGCTCGCAGAGATGGTAAACCGCAACCGCAAGGACAAGGCAATATATGAAGCGGCCACAAGAAAACTTAATGAAACAAGGAAAGCTCTGGCAGATGTCGAGGCTGCTCATGCTGCAGCCTCCAATGCTGTTGTGAACAAGGAGAAAGAGAAGAAGTGGCTTAAATTCTGATGTTTCTTCACCGGATAAAATTTTGCTGCCATGTTCAAGTATAAACGACTGTTTATTTGGAAATTGTATGAAGGGAGCTTGATTGGTGAAAAGCTTCGAGCTGCTTGTGGACTTTTGTCAATGTAGGGTAGTATGGGCCTATATGTATGGAGGTTATTCCAAACCTAACTCTCTTCTTATGTGCAAGTAGGGAACATGAATGTGCTGGAAATTTTACATTTTGAGAATGTTTTTAGCAGTTTGTAAGTTCAGAGAAGATAAATTTTTCTTGGAGTCTGTAGTTGATATGATTCTTATGAGGTCATTAATGAACTTTTGATTGTCTAACTAGCGTTATTGTTCAAAAAACTCAGATTAATTGCTACAAATGACAACTAATAAGTTTTAAATTTAAATATCCTTATTTATTATATTAAATGTTTCATGTGGATTCGAATACGAAATGTATCAATACGAAACCTATCAAATATGCGAATATGAAACTTATATTGAGGCCTATCAATTGTGAATATGAAACCTATCAAATATACAATATGTAATCGAGCAACTGTGCATGTATGCTGTTACCAGCTTTTAACTTTTCCTTTGACACCAAAGGTGGTTCTGCACTTGTCTTTCAAGACTTTTCCTACAGGCCATCGATTGCCACACAATATTGCATGGTAAGTAATGCAACGTTCAAAGTTGCAATCCAAACACTATGGCCAATAACGACGCTAAAATGCCTTTGCTTTTAGTACTAGTAATGTTGTCGCCAACCCATAAATAATTGTTGGGACACTGTGACTTACTTGGTTATAAAGAATATTGGTTGAGATGGTGCTTTAGTACGAGAAATCTGAGGATTCCCACTCTGTCTTGCTGGTAAACGCGACCATCAACTGTTTCACTGTACTGCGTTTACCTATGTTATACCGGGCTTTCTAGTGAGCGAGCCATTGGTCTTCATAACCATTCCAGAGCTTGTTGCTCACTACTGTTCTCTCCGTTGTGTATTCTGCTGTTCCTGCTGGTTCATCGTCGACGTCGGGTGGTCCTCCTCCGTGCGTGTCAGCATCATCACCGGTTCGGCCACAACAGCTCTCTTCATTTGGTCCCTTGTCCTGACGGGGAGTTTGTCGAATTAAGAGAGATGAAGAATTCTCATTAGTTTTTAGATTCATAGATCAAATTCAATTTGGTGGGATCTTTCATTCACATTTTTCTTTCATCAAGAACATTGTTGAATTAGATATGTCTAGTGTTGCATTACATGAAATAGAAATAGATGGTCTGTGATTTGTGTCTGCATGTCCAAAATTGTCATCATAAAAATTACATTTTTCTCACTAAAAGCTACAGTGAAATCCTATCTTATGGTTGCAGCACTGTTATAATTTACAGGCAATTCTATGCAACTTACATTGGCAATCAATTGTATGTGTATAATTACCCAAAAATAACATGGTTGTTGTTGTCAAAATTATATCTAAGTTGTCGCGAACGAACGGGGCGATAATTCCATCTTATTTTTTTTATTTATATCAAAATCATTATAATTTTACTCAATAACAAATATAAAACGAAAGAAAAGAAGAGTTTTTTTTAAACACTTTTATTTTTTATTTTTTTGCATTCAAATATTTAATCTCACCAAAGACTTACTCGATTAAGAAATTATTACCGAAATGTAGTGATCCACGTAAAAGAGCTCCATACCTTAATAATCAAATCTCACGGTAACATGCTATCATTAATCACTACGATCGTAGATTATGGTGGTGATGACCTTCTTCTATCACGCTGTCTTCCTCTAATCAACTTTACTGCCGAGCTCATCAAGTGGCGTTCAGATGTATCAATCATCACAGAGCGATCATGCATGGGAGTATCATTTTAATTAGGCAAGCAAATGTGGGTGGAGTTTGCTTCTTAATTCCCTCATAAATGCATCGCATAACTGATAGAGTGGCTCATCAATGAGGGAACCCATCCATCCATCCATCTTTATAGGACGCAACTGACGCATCATTCGTCGGCCAAACCATCTCTTTCATCCACAATCTTTATTTACTTCCTTTTCGACCTCTACTGTAGAACATGCATGACTCTACGCAACACAACAAGACCAAATGCCGCGACATGGCTCTTACCGTGGTTAGATAGATGGATGGTCTCGCGTCAAACCGGTGGGTCGAGATTATTTGGTCGGAAGGTGATGTGCTCATATGTCAGAAGATAAAAGCAATTCGTGTTGCCAACTGTTGCTAACTTCCACCCATTCCTAGTAGATCTACTTAAAGTACCACGGTGGCCTACAATGTGATCCATCGTATACCGCAAACGTAAATCATGTCGGAGTTGAGTTACAGCCAAAACAAGCTCTTCTTTCACTGTGTAACCCCAAAGGAGGAAGCCAATTCAATTGAATATAGCCAATCTCTTAAATCAAACTGATTCACTCGAAATATATGACTCTCCTCCTGCAATAATTATAAGTTAGTCGAAGATCAAAGCCCAGGAAACCTCACTTCAGCTCATCGTTGTAACCATTGGCAAAACACACTAGTCCAGAAAAAGAAGAAAAGGATGATCAAAACCTTTGTTATTATTGCCAATAATAGGCTAAGGGTACTCCTCCTTTTTAATGCCTCAAAATTAGGTCCGGAATTGGCCTGCAGCCAACCGTGACTTTGACACCTTCGCACTGCTTGCAGCAAGTAATGTAATGGTGAGTCAACCTCGTGAAGTCATTCAGATTCTTTGGCTTTGATCTCGAGCGCACACCGCAGTGCGTGCATGCATGCATGCATTCTTCCCTTTCTCTTCTCTCCTAACTGTCACTGCTGCACGCAACTAAATGCAGTCTGTACCGACACTGCTCTCGTCCTCCCTCCTTTCTCGCTTCACAATAAATACACCCGACCAAGCAACGGTGAGTTGCTAAGCCTCCTTGATGGATCCTAAACTCGTGAGACTGCCCCCGTTCATCCTTGTTTCCACCTTCACCCTCCTTCTCCTGCCGTTCCTCTCGCCGCCTGTTGCATCACAGCTCTCCTCGGGCTTCTACTCCTCCTCCTGCCCGGATGTGGAGTTGCTAGTGAAGAACACCGTTCGATCCGCTTACGAGATCGACTCCACCATCCCCGCTAAACTCCTCCGCCTCCTCTTCCATGACTGCATCGTCCAGGTCCTAACCGACGTCACCGCCACGCTGTCGTAGAACGGAGCTGCCTGCGAGGGCTATGTGACATCTGACGAGAGCTGCATCTGGGTGCAGGGCTGCGATGGCTCCGTGTTGGTGGAGGGGAATGGGACGGAGAGGAGCGATCCGGCGAACAAGTCGCTCGGTGGATTCTACGTGGTGGAGTCGGCCAAGAGGCTGCTCGAGTTCTGGTGCCCTGGAACTGTGTCCTGTGCTGACATCCTGGTTCTCGCTGCAAGGGATGCTGTGGAACTGGTAAGCTAAGCTGCAGCTGCTCCAAATCTTACAACTAAATCTCCGACGATCCATCATGCCGACAATTACATGTTCTTGCTGCTCGGCGATTGATGGCTTGAGGCCAAATTGTTGGAATGTGACAGACAGGAGGACCATCGGTAGTGGTTCCGCTGGGAAGGAGGGACGGAGCGGTGTCCTCGGCAGCAAGTGTGAGGCCAAACATGGTGGATACCACCTTCACCGTCGACCAGCTGGCGCAGCGCTTCTCCTCAAAAGGATTGTCCATGGACGACCTCGTCATCCTCTCAGGTAATCCCCCATAGCAAGCCCTTCCCTCTCGAGACCTGGTGACACGACTGCACTCATCGAATCATCTTCCAAGGTGCTCATACCATCGGCTCAGCTCACTGCACCGCGTTCAGCGATCGGTTCAACCAGCTCTCGGACGGGACCATGGTGCCCGCCGACGCTTCACTGGAGAGGAACTACGCGATGCAGCTCGCCAGGAAATGCCCCGCCGGCGCAAGCGATTCGGTCACCACCAGCAACGATCCAGTGACTCCTTCCTTGTTCGACAACCAATACTACGGGAATCTCTTGGCCAAGAAGGGCCTGCTTCAATCCGACTCCGTCCTTGTCGCGGATGCCAGAACAAAGAGCACGGTGGAAGCCTTGTCTCGAAGCCAGGACGCCTTCTTCGCGAGCTGGGCTAAGTCGTTCGTGAAGCTCTCCACCATTGGAGTCAAGACAGGCAACGAAGGTGCGATTCGATTCTTGTGCGCCAGCGCTACCGGCTAAGCATAGATCGCTGTTGATGCGTTGTTGTGTTCTTTCAATCTTTCCCTCATACTGTTTGTATAAATGTCACTGCGTGGAGTTCATGTGATCAAGTCTACCACAAGGGCTCTATTCGGTATAATACTGTGGCCAAAATAAGTTGTGTGATCACTTGCAACTCTTTCTTACTGGAAAAGAACAAACACATTTCTTAAGGAGAAAGAGAGTCGATTGCTCTAAGGGAACAAAAAATTGAATCCAACCTGCAGGCAGAGTTGAGCAGAGAAATGGCATCGAGCTGTGCATCATGAAAGAAATCTATTCCTCATAAATATGTGACACATGCAGAAGCTTTTCCTTTCCTACTTCCTCAGTCTCAGACATATTGGGACTGAAGCTGCAACGATTAATGCCAGGTTGCAGAAAAAAACGTGAAAGAGATTGATGTCATGCGGATACAATTCAGCAAGCACTTCAGATTCCCAGTGGAAACATGGATGTGAAATGTTGAGATAAGAAAACCATCATGCTCGTCGGTAGATATGCACTTCTCTCAGCCTCTATTCGAGATGCATAATCCTCTTCATACAGCTCTTTCGAGGACAGTGAGAACTTGGATTTGTTCTGGTAGGCGAGTTCTCAAGCATCAAAGATCTCCACAAGCTCCAGTCCCCTGCATCGTCTGTGCCATGGCACATGGATGATCCACCTTCGATCGATTCCTTTATGCATCAAAAGGTATATAGAAGAACCAACTCTGCAACATAAATAATGTTGTAATTCATGTACATATGATGGTTTGTCCTGATTTCACCTTATAAGACTGACATTATCCTGAAGCATTTGAATTATGTTTCAGTCGAACTGCATACATCAAGACAGAATGAATCTGCGATAATCCACAAGTTGATTGATCATAAAGAGAAAAAATGAATCAGAACTCTCTGTTCATCAAAGAACTATCTAACAAGTCTGAGCCACCTACTTTGTTGATAAAGATCTCCAAGTAATTTACAATCGGTACTGTCTTAGAAAAATAATTCATATGTGAGATAAAGATCGAAAGAGGCGTAAAGAATGCTCCGACATGGTTAAAGACTAAAAATTGGGATGGCATATATTATATCTAATCCATGCATATAAGTTGTAACAAAGCAGAATGCAAGATGGAGCTTCGACCATCATCTTATTCAGACTCTGCAGGAGATATACGCATAGAAGAGTTCAACTCCACAATGTCCAAAAGTTACTATCGAGCCAATAATCCAAAAAATGACATTAAAATATTTAAGCTGAAGTTGATAATAATATACTTATCAGACTCTTATAATATTCTCTACTCAAGAGTTTGACGTATTTGTCAAGATCTAACATACTGGTATGGCGCATATGAGGCGCAGCTCAATGATGACGCAACCCAATGATCAAAATATTTAAACTGAAATTGATAATAATAAACTAATTCATTCTCTTGCCCCTTTCATTCATTGATCACGTTCACGGGATGTAAGGCAGCAACCAAAGAGGAGTGAGATGGCATGCCTTCCATCTGTTCCGCATCCAAACACCCCCCAAAGATTTGCATGTGCAAATAAAGTTTCCTATCAGTTTCGCTCTTAATGATGTTGTCCAAAGTGATGATTGAAAACTAAGTAGACCTCTTTTATGATGTGTATTTGAACTCTTTTTCTCCTTTCAGCTAAATCATCTCCTCATCCAAACCACATCAATCATCATCGAATGCAACGCAACAAGCGTGAGCCAATTGTCTTCATCTACAGCGATGCAAACACTACTCTTTCTTTTTGTCCTCCAACGCATTATTAAGTAAAGTGCGCAAAAGGGTACAAAGTTTGTAAGTGGGGCGCAAAGCGAGAAAGCTTGAAAGCAAGCTCTCCGTTTCCCTACTTTTAATCCATCTCCTGCATGCCAGGCTACGAACTCAAGTAATCCTCTTCGATTCATAACATAAACGCATAAAAGTAAAGCAACATCTTCAATTCATTTGCTCGAAGAATCATTGCTGCTTAATGTATTGCAACAATCATATATGTAACAAAATATATTGTGGATCGTTTGGGAATCATATTTCCTTTTTCTGATTCCTATGGTGAAGGCAACAGAAGCAGCAGCGGCAGCAGCAATCTGTCTCTCTCTCTCGTGCTCTTCCTGCTCTGTTAAGGTTGAACAGTTAAACTAAATACGTCGTCGATACGCAGAATTCATAGAAGCAACGTTTGATCGGTCACCGAGTCCCTGAACTGCCCTTTTGGCTCCCCTTGTTGTGCGGCCAACAGCTTCAGCAAGAACCAAGGCAATTAGGTCATTACGCACTGGCCGAGGTGTGGGATGCAGGTCTCCCTGCACGCAGTCTTTTATGTGAGTCGTTTCCTTTCTTTGCTCTGTTTTGTTTTGCTTGGGTGTGTTGTGTTCATGGCGAAGGAGAGGCAGAATCAGAGCCATTAATACGCTGCAGTGAGTCCACCGTACTGAGAGTACACCTACGTTTAAGAGTGAAACATGGAAGCCTACTGCTCGTTCTCTCTTGTTCCGTTCTTCCTTATGTTTCCTTAGCTTCAGGAGAGGTGAGAAGGGTGATGGTGGCGAAGGAAAAGATGAGAAGAGGACTACGTGCTGCATCGGAGGATGAGAAACAAGGAAGACTGGCATTATTTGTTGCGTTCTTCTTCCTGAGGCCTTCTTCTGATACACTGACAAGACAAAGGCCAAGAAGGTATGTCTGTGGAGGAGATGATGACAGGTGAAGGAAGGTCTTATGACAGTGCAGCTGAAGACGAAGATGCACAACACAATGATGCAGAAAAGTGTAGGAAATGCTCCCTCTTTATGATGTGCGTGTGCGTGTGTGTGTAAGGGTAGTGTGTGATATTGGCGCGAGTGGCTCAATCAGATCTCTCTTCTCCTTGTTTCTTTGTTTCCTCCAACATCACCAAGATGTTGTTGCCTTGTAGTTGTTGTCTTCTCTTCTTGATGCCAAATCCTGGTGCTTTGGCTTCTCCTCCTGCCAAGGCTTCTGCTGCTGCTGCTGTCTTGGTTGATTCATGGTCATCATGTTGTGTTGTGTGTGGAACGTTTGCTATGCTTTCTTTCTCCTTCGTCCATTGTTGATTGGATACTGTGGTTGCCTACCATTTGCAAGATTAACACCCAAACACTGTTGCCTATATATGTATTGTTTTTGGATGTTAGAACAGAACAAGGTGGAGAGAAGGGACAAATTTTCCTCTTCTCTTTCTTTCTTGTGAGCTGGATGTAGCTTTTGAGGACACTGGCAAGCTCTGGTGAATGAGAAAATTAGACACCGGTCGCTTGCTCAAGTGCCAAAGCTGAGAAGAATGGCTTTGTTAGTCTGAGGTGCAATCGATGGGTTGCATCCTTTTGCCCTTTAGATGTATGAAATGAGCAGTAAGTACAGCCTTTTATGGGTACTACCTTCTTTGACAGTACCGAGATCTGGTACTTCATCCAGCTGCTACTGTATACTCTTTTGCTAGAGAGAGAGAGAGAAAGAAGAGTAGGAAAAGTTTCAGATATGCGATAAATATCAAAATTGTGTGATAAATGTTTCAGATATGTGAGTTCAGATATATCGTCTCAATTGAGTTTACTGATCACCTAATAAAAAATATTTATATGATAAGGGTAAGTATGGTAATTGATAGAGATTAATCATAATGATCCATAAGTATGTCTCTGTATATATATGGCCATTATGTGAGGATATATATGTAATTTTGTTTTACTTTCTGTTGTGGAGGAGACTTGAGTCTAAACTCGGGTTTAACTCGGTCCAACTCAGTCCAGCCTTTTCGAACCTTGGTGTTGTTCTATTCTAGGGTTTAGCTTCTGCGATTCGAGGCGGCGGTAGCGGGGGCGGAAGAGTGCCAGAATGAAGCCCGTGGTGGGGATCGTGGTGTCGAACAAGATGCAAAAGTCGGTGGTGGTGGCGGTGGATCGGTTGTTCCACCACAAGATTTACAATCGCTACGTCAAGCGCACCAGCAAGTTCATGGCTCACGACGAGAGCAACGAATGCAACATCGGCGACCGGGTCAGCCCTCGCCACATCCCTCTAGTTTGCTCATTCCCTTGGTTATGTTGGATTTAGGAGCTATTTTCCCTATTTCAATTCATCGATATGTTCGTTTGTTGATCGGACGCCGTCCACCAATTTTAAGTGAATGCACTTTCTGAGAAAAAGAGCCGACTTGTCTGTCAAATTGCCTATGGGCTGATCGTTTGGCATTATCATTTGCTTCTGTTGCATAGAGCTGAGGTTGGAGCTGTTTCTCGTAAGGTTACAGAGTGGAATTACTTACACTCCTCCTTGATAAGGATTAGAACTTGGAAGAATCCGATCAATGATTTGGTTCTTCTGAATGTACGAATGCATGAATGAGTTCATAAGTATGCGTATTCGGAAAAAATAATTGTCAATTAACTGATTGTGGAATTGTAGTTATCATATAGCTGATGCATTTGCTTACTTGATAGAACATGGTTCTGTGCTGGTGCAGTAGTGAGGAAAGATGATGAACTACAGCTATATATGATAGTTATTTGTAGGGTTTATTGTTGTTATGCATTGTTGAACCCCCTTTTAGTTGTAAAGTAAGGTCTTGTTCTAACTCAGCCTCTAATCTATCCTATCTCTGTCAAATATCAGAATTTTAATTGAAACAACACAGACTCTATAGTCTAAACTGTAGCAAGTCGGTTAGACATTATAATATGTTGATGAACAAATAAATTCCACTGAGCATACATTGGCCAATATTGCCCCAGATAATGAATATGTGGTTTTCCTATGGCTTCACAACTTCCGCTAAAGCTGATTTTGTTCATTGTGGTGGCATGATTGGCTCCGTGGATAACTAGCAAGCATGATGTGCTTCTTGATTATGTGAAACACTTGTTGGCTACCATTGGCAAAAGGTTTCAGTTTGAATTTGGTGGAAAAACCTTTATTCAAAGGCTTGTTAGAGTGGATTTCTTTTGAACTAGGAAAATTTTGCATGTTGATTAAGTGGATAGATTTGATAGATAGGCTTTTAATACTACCATTGACATGGAGGAGCATTACTTAAGAGATGCAATAATCATATGGTTTTGGATACTTCAGGCTTTCTCGACCTTCAATCAATCTGTTTCTTTCTTTATAGTTTGTAACTGTAAACCACAGTTTTTCTTTTGCTTGTTGACTGCGATCTGTTTTTTGGTACCGGTCTTGCTTGATACTGTAAAAGTACTAAGTGTGCCTGCCATGTTGGGTGAAAAATGGACTTTTTGCAACAAAAGATGAAGATCTTTTAACTTCGAAAGGTAACATAATCTTTTAATTGTCATGGTTATGACATATAGTGCTGCCATATGTTTGTCCCAAGATTGGATGAACATGCTGAAGGGTTGCATTAGGCAGTTGACAGCTAGCTTGATACTTCTGTCAGAAATCAAATATGAATCTTAACCAATTCCATTCTAAGACTTTGTCATTATCATGAAATGATGCAAGTCATCTTCATCTGTGTTTCCCTAAATGCAAGTGGCAAGGTAGGATACCGTACAGAAAGCGACTCATTACATTAACACTAAAATGTGTTGCAAAAGAGGTAAATGTTTTAGTATTATTTTGGACAATTGTGGGTGAAGAAGGTATTCTAGAATGACAAAATTATAGGATTAGACTAGCCATTTATAATAGAAGAACACTTTCAAGAAAAATACTATGAATAAGTAGGAGTAAGATCAGATGTATTAAATGTAATTAAAAAAAAAAACACTAAGAAAGGAAATGAGAATGTAGTTATACTGGACGTGTAAGAAGTTCTCTTAAGGAAAAGTTGGAAGTATATTACATTTGAGACTAATGAATATAGTATTTGTAATGTAAAAGCTGATGACTGAAATGACAGGAGACATTAAGAATTTTGTGATCATTGTAATAATTATAATATCACTCATGCTTTATGGAACTGAGTGATCAGCGATTAAGAAGCAATATACACAAAAGAATCAATGAAAATGAGATAGAATGTTAAGGGGACGTGTGTAGTTACTAGAAAAGGTAGAATAAGAAATATTTTTCCCTGGTAAAAAGAAAAAGAGAGTGATGTTGTGAACATGTTTTAAGGAGACTGATAAATGTTTGAGTTGATTAAAATTAAACATGAAGAGAGGTAGAGGGTGATCCAAAAAACTTTGCTGGAAACAACAAAAGGAGATTTGCATGCTCATAATATAGTTAAAGATTGCATTACACAGAGTGAAAAAACGTTGTTGTGATAGTTATGAGAAATCAATCGATGGGAACACAAACTTTGTGTACCTCCCACTCTATCTCCATTAGCAAGGTCATAACTATTGCGTTATTAGTAAAGACATATGCTTTCTGTTCCTTTCTTTTCTCTTTATTCTCAAATTACCATAATAAACTGCAATTACTATGATGCGGAACTATTTGATTTACCTGTTCTGGCATTCTGTCTGCTCTGAGAAACTACAAAGAAAGTATCATCAAGTATATGGATGTACAGAAACTAGTTGCAAAAGAACTCGTAGCCTCAGTTGTTGTTTTACTTTCGTAAAAAAAATTGAAATATCTTTTCTTGCCAGGTTAGATTGGATCCTTCAAGGCCACTGAGCAAAAGAAAGCACTGGGTTGTTGCTGAGATATTGCAGAAAGCTAGAATCTATGTTCGACCATCTCTGGCAGCTCCATCTCCTGGAGAACAATCTGCTGCTTCTAAAACAACTGAAACTGTTCCTTCTTCTTAGGGTCTCGGAAACGATGAACCATATGACGACAGGGGAATCTTGTCGATTGATTATGTGACTAAAACAGAAAGTCTCACTTCATTTTTATTTTCTCCTGTCATTGGATTGTTGTTAAGCTTCCCATGCCTGGTGGTCTATCAAAACAAGTACATTTGGTGCTGATTCCTTGCATCAAGCATAAACTTGTTCCATATCACAGCAAATCACTCCGTGGATGTGTTCTGAGAAGCTTGACAGTCAATTTTGTTTTTATATGAATATAATAACAATCTGTGTCTTTTTTCTGAAACATTCATTGCGAGTTTGAGTCTTGCTTGGTCCAGCTGAAACAAATCCCCTATTAATTAATAATTCTGATTAAAATGACCATGATATCTCTCCTGGTTGCACTAATTTTGTCAAATTATCAATTGCAGGCGGAGTCAAATCGGACACGCTGCTACGTGCTGCCTGATGCGTACATGCGCCTTGCTCTCTCTCTCTCTCTCTCTCTCTCAGTGATATGTCGGAGATGATGAGGCCAATTTACCTCGTTGAACACAGAATCAAACCAGAAACTGCTGCCTGTTGCCCACGTGCCGCCCTCTCTCTCTGGTAAGAGGCCGGAGCAGATCCCAGTCAAAACCCCGCACCGTCGTCCGCCCTCCCGCGGGAACCGGGGCACCGTACCACCGTCGCTGCGCCTCGCGGTCATCGCCTTCCCGCGCGACCGGTTCTCCCGGCCGTCCGCCCCACGAATGCTCCCCCGCGCGCTCGCCCCCTCTTATGCTACTCCCCACCTCTATCCCGGACACGTGGCGAGCAGAAGTGCGTGCTCCCCGCGTCTCGAGCTTCTTCCCGAGGGACAAGTTAACGCGCTCCGTGTAAATGACGCCCAAAGAGAGGTGTTGCTGTCTTCGACCGGACGAACATCGGGCCCCGCGCATGAAACGGGATAGGGTCAAACGAGTGGGGTAAAATTAAGTTTCGGTAATATTTACCAGCCAACGAAGAGGCGTTGACGGTGGGCCCGATTCCTCGGCGGCCAATTAAATAGGTTCGCTATTCTTCACTTGTCCACGCCATGGATCGCAATTTAAAAGAAGGTGTTAACGTCTCAAGGCGATTAATATATAGAGAGAAGGGAACGGGCGAGGGGAAGAAGGAAGGGAGAGAAGAGACCCCATCTCCTATTTATATCTTCCCCTGCGCCCAATCCTTGGGCAGGTGTAGCAAAACATTTCGTCGAACACCCGAATACATCCTCGATTGGAAGAGAAACAAACAGAGGAGGAGAAGAAGATGAGATCGATGGAAGATGAGTTGTTTCCATCGACGCCGGGGAAGGTGAAGATCGAGCGGGCGCACACCATCAATCGCCAGCTCCACCGCTGCTTCGCCTCGACCAGCACCATGTTCTTGTGGGCGCTGTTCCTGATCGCGCTCACGGCCTCCTACCTCAGCTTCCAGAGCTTCGTCGACAGCTCCTCCCGATATCTCAACGCCTCGTGGGGCGGAATGCAATGGGAGAAGCAGATCCGGGAATCGTCCGCCGCCAGCCGCCCCGGAGGCATGTCCGTGCTCGTCACCGGCGCCGCCGGCTTCGTCGGGACTCACGTCTCCCTCGCCCTCCGCAGGCGCGGCGACGGCGTGGTCGGGCTTGACAACTTCAACAATTACTACGACCCTTCGCTGAAGAAGGCGCGACAGGCGATGCTGCAGTCCCGCGGCGTGTTCGTGGTGGAGGGCGACATCAACGACACCCGCCTCCTCGCTAGGCTCTTCGCCCTCGTGCCTTTCACCCATGTGATGCACCTCGCAGCGCAGGCAGGCGTGCGCTACGCCATCGAGAACCCGGCGTCGTACGTGCACAGCAACATCGCCGGGCTGGTCACCCTGCTCGAGGTGTGCAAGTCCGCCGACCCGCAGCCGGCGGTGGTGTGGGCGTCGTCGTCGTCGGTCTACGGCCTCAACGAGAAGGTGCCCTTCTCGGAGCTGGACCGAACCGACCGGCCGGCCTCCCTGTACGCAGCCACGAAGAAGGCCGGCGAGGAGATCACCCACACCTACAACCACATCTACGGCCTGTCCACCACGGGCCTCCGCTTCTTCACCGTCTACGGTCCCTGGGGCCGCCCCGACATGGCCTACTTCTCCTTCACCCGCAACATCCTCCAGGGGAAGCCCATCACGGTGTACCGCGGCAAGGACCGCGCCGACCTTGCCCGCGACTTCACCTACATCGACGACATCGTCAAGGGCTGCGTCGCCTCCCTCGACACCGCGGAGAAGAGCACCGGGAGCGGGGGCCGGAAGCGCGGCCCGGCGCAGTACCGAATCTACAACCTAGGCAACACCTCGCCGGTAACGGTGCCGGCGCTGGTCAACATCCTGGAGCGCCACCTCAAGGTGAAGGCGAAGAAGAAGGTGGTGGAGATGCCAGGCAACGGGGACGTCCCCTTCACCCACGCCAACATCAGCTTAGCTCAGGCCGAGCTGGGCTACAAGCCGACCACCAACCTGGAGATCGGCCTGAAGAAGTTCGTCAAATGGTACCTCTCCTACTACGGCTACAAACCCAGAAGCGGCGGCTTAGCAGCATGAGCAGGGGCAACGACGTCAGGATCCGCATAGTGCTTGTAAAGGAACCCCCTCTTTTTTCTCTGGATCCATATTAGTTCGATTAGGACCAGTTAATTCTCGAGAAAGGTGAACAAGCAATCAGATTCTCTTCATTTCACAGAAGAGAAGAGAGGACCTCTCTCTCTCTCTCCTCTTTCGACACAGATTTCTTGCTTATAGTGATAATAATTCCCGCAAAGAATCTAGACGGTCGACACTGTTTGCTCTGTTGTAATCTAAATCGCCCTATCGTCCTTATTCTTCTCGGGCGGCGACAAGCTGGGGTTGATTTAGTACATTCCCAACGGTCCAATCACCACGCTTCCAAATTTGGCGGCGAATACGTTGCGCGATCTCCGCACCGCGACATTAATTGATCCACGTGTCCTTGTAAGCGCCGCCAGAATCTTTGGCGGGCTTCTTGGACCGTTGCTGTCGTGTCGACGTCAGTTCTACCCGATCACTCCACTTACCCCGTGCTTGGAGGCGGCGGTGGGGCCCTCTCTATGACGAGCACTTCCCACTCTCTTTGATGGAGCGTACATATTGTTAGTTGTTTTCGAAGGTAGATGACCAAAAAGGTCATTAGATTGAAATTTAAAAATTATCTTAAATATTTAAAATATATGACATTTTCGAAATAAACTATCGTTTAAAAAAAAATTACATAGCACTTTCATTTTTTTTAAAATTCACGGTATTTTTCTTTTTACCTAAATGATGATTTTGTTTCTTGTTTCTACTTCATCGATTATCGTTATCGATCGGCTTCGCTTACATTCTTGATTAGTTACGTATCTGCCCTACTATCCCTACCTTCGCATCCACTTCACGAACCCTACCTCCATCGCTCGTCATCTATCAACGTCATTCGCATCATCATTTTGATGGAGAGGGCTACGAGCAAGAGAGAGACTGTGCAGGGTTCCCACCCTCCGTTTGTCATCTTTATCTTCTTTATTGTTGATTGTGATGGAAGGGCTTGCGAGTGAGGGTGAGGGCCAGAACGCTAATAATAATAAAAAAAAAGGAGAGGGAAAGTGACGATGATAGTACAAGAAAAAAAATATTGGGGAAGCATATAAATAGTAGAGTAAAAGCTGTGGATAGTAAAGTGGAAGCTCAAGTAATGATTAACAATGCGGAAGATGCACAAGCAATCAGTGACAAAGTGATGATTGATGAGCGAGGACAATGACAAAATTATTTGGTGCTGAGTAGAAAATATTTTAAAACTAATTTTTTTTTCAAAAAATTGTCCAAAAATATACCAAACCATTTGTATATTAGATTAAATTGTATTTAACTCACTTCATGTTGAGGATTGGAATTCTTAACCTAAAAATCTAAAACATAGTTAACTAGCTTGTCCCATGTTTATATAATAGCTTAAATTGTGTTTATACGAGTCTCCTTAGCACTGATATATCCAATTTACGTATCTTATATGACTTCGATTGGAGATCAAACATTAAATTACTTGTATAGTCTTATAAAAATATCGTACTATTCCATATGTGACCATAATTTTCTTACAACACTGCTCATGACAGTAACCCCTCTTGCAAAAGAGCATGAGGCAACCATAAGCTCAGATACAGTAACTTCTATTGACTCAATTTATATGCAGCAACAATCTCTTTGGTAAACTGATGTCAGGTAAGTGAATACTACTTAAACTCAGTAAAGGTAAAATCTTTTTGCATAATAAGTACCGTTTTACTATCATAATCCTACTTATAAGATCAAGTAAGCAGTGTAGTTTGCAGAATAAGTATGCTTTAATCACCATAAAAAAAAAGAAATGACAATTCCTGTATAGCTCACTCAGTACATAATCTTCCAATACAAGATAAGATGCCGACACATTCTATCTACCCAATTATTTATGACCACAATATGCTTGTTTGATCAGAGAAACAAAACTGGGAACGAGGAGTTATGGATTAATCTCACATACTAAATAAATTGATACGTCAATCATCCCATCAAATTGGATGGTGCCAAATGTTATTATAGCCAACATAATATTGACCATGTCACGGCGTAAAATTACTATTAGACTAAGCATCATGCACATTATACTAATATCTAGTAGTGTATTATGTTAGCCTTTGAGGAGGATGTTAGCCCTTGATGCAAATAAAACTTAAGTTGAATTGTAAGAACATGATGAGCATATAATCATTAATTTGAGTTTAAATATATTATGTGAAGGATTTTGACTCAATAAATTAATGAGTCAATTATCTTGTCGGTGAGGATCATGATAATACAATAATAAGTAACAAGATAGATTTTTTTTTGTAACCTTTTCTCCTTAATCTTCTCATGCTTTCCCATTCCTGTAATTAATAAGCATCTGATTTATGAAAGCAAATGCACAAGCATTGTATAAATCAATCTTAACTTGAATTCCTGTAATTAATAATCTGATTTATGATAAATCAAGCTAATTAACTTGTGCTGGAAGCTCATGCTTCCACTGCATGCATAATCCCTTGCATTATCATGTTGGATGAAGAACAACACTAGACGACCCAATTAAATCTTGATTCATCTTTGACATGTACAGTGATTCTGAAACATTCTTCTTCTGAATAATTTAGTTTTTTTCTTTCATTTCTTTGTATTAAGTTGTTCAAAAAAGCAAGAATTTCTAGTAAAAAGAAAATTAAATTTTATACAGAGTTTAGGGTTTAA